TGCACATAACACAAATGGATTTTTGCATTTTGTGCTTTTGGACTTCTGTAGGAATAAAAGTGGAGAAAATATCTCATAATGACAGCTTTTGGAAAGAAAAGATACAAAATACAATAAAATTTTTTTATATGCAATATGCCTTGTAAGAACTTGTTGACAGCGAAGCTAATACAGTACAGGACAGAATTCTAAATAATTCGTGAGAAATTTTGTTCAATGTTTATTGACATATCGCAAGGAATCTTGAATTATTTTTATTGCTTTAAGAATTATATTTTATTTATTTCTAAAACATGGTAGTAGGCGATCTATTTAAGATATGATTAATGTCTTATTATTATAATACACTATTTTAAATTTTGGATTTTACCAGTGGAAGTGGTAATTGATGATATATAATTATTATTATACCAAATGTTTTAAAAGGCTACACCAACTAGTGGACCACTCTTTAAGTCCCCAAATAATAGTTTCAAGATTTTGATTCGGATATTTTTATTTCACAAAAATAATAAGTCAGTTTTTGTTTTTTATGTAAATCATATCATTTTCAAGGCAATAAAACAGAAGAAAAGTCACCGAATACCGATTTCAAAAAGGTCTATTAGTTTTTATAGGAAATGGAAAGAGAAAGAACGCTTTTTAATCAAGTCAAAATCAATAACTATAAACGGATTAAGGTATTTTGTACAGTTTTAAAAAATTTTGAAGAATATTTGTTTTTTTAAAAAAATTAGTAAACTTTGACAAACATGTACAATATTCTAAAAGATAAATCACATTACGTGTAGCTATAGGTTAAATCTATGCTCCTCTGGAACCACTTTTTCAAAATTCAATTTAGTTTTTTCTAAAAAAAATTGAGAAAATGGGTAAAAATAGACGAGCTCTGTATTTTTTTTTAACCGTTTCAAATTTTAAAAAAGTGTCTCCAGAGGAGCATAGATTTATCCTTTACCTACATGCACATATTTTTTTCTTTCAGAATAAGTCAAAAATAAACTTTAAAAGTGGGGTACTACGAAACCCTTGCATGCTCCGCTTTACAGTCCAGTAAATACTCCTCTTAAGAAACAAAAATTTTATTTATTTTTCTAAAATAATATGGATTTTCCTCTAAAATATATATAGTGGCTCACAAAAAGTCTGCTTTTTATATGTTACTTTTTTCGGAAAATGTTATTCCTGATAAAACTTGGTGTTTAATTAAACCTAAAACTTTATTTATTCAAAAAATTCTGTATCATAAATATAAATTTGGCTGCACAGTGAACTAGGTAGGTACTTTTCTAGGAACCGAACCCACATTTTTACATATAAGATTAATTCAAGAAAATGTATACAACTCCAGATAGTAGTTTTTTAGTTAATACAATTAATATAGATTATTATATTCTTTTTGACCTACTTCAAAAAGGAGGAGGTTCTCAATTCGTCTGTATATATTTTTTTTATGTATGTTCAGCGATAATTCTTTAACACAATGTCCGATTTAAATGATTCTTTTTTTTGCTGGAAAGAGGATACTTCCGGGATGGTCCCTTTTAATTTTGGTCAAAATCTAATAATTGGGTCCATGAGAAAATCCTCAAACTTTTCATTTTTTATGTATGTTTAGCGATAATTCTTTACCACCTTGTCCGATTTCTATAATTCTTTTCGTTAGTAAGGGGGTACCTCAGGGGTGATCCCATAAAAATTTGGTTAAGATGTGGTGATGGCATCAGCACGATTTTAAAGTCGATTTTTTAAAATTACTTTTAATACTTGTTACGTAAATTAAAAGTTTAATAATTTGGTGCTTTCTTGATGCGTCGTTTTATGAACACTTTGTATATGTTTAAGTACAGATAATTATTATTATTACTGGCAGTTTATTTTAAATCATTAAAATAACATTTTGTTAATCCAAAAACGGCAAGCAAAAAAGCCATGTCACATTCAGTGTAATAATAAAAATTAGATATATAAATATAGTATATTATGTACCAACAGTCTAAACTTTTACTTTCAATCCCGCCTTTTTGACGTAAAAGACTTCTAAATTTTTACAAGTGACGTCCGTACCGGGTTTGAACTGAATATTTTTGAACAAAAATATGGTACGCTACTGCTTTTTCTAAAAACCAAAATTATCTTTAAAATCCTTATTTATTTTGGAGCAAATTTGGTTTATAGACGTACTTTCGTACGACACACTCTTTTCGCGTAAGAACATAAAAACCAGTTTATTGAAACTCCTTTTGATATTTTGTTGAAATTTGGTAGGAACCCACCATGAGTGGAAACACTTTTTTTTTGGGCAAAATAAAATAGTTATTTTTTTCTTAAAATTTTAACACCCAAGGATTCACACCCTTAAGTATCGGCACTCAATTAATAAATACCCTGTATTAAATTACTTTATTCGAACCAATCGTCTATTTTTTCGTTATTTGTATTTATATTTCACAATTCTATATTCTTAAATCTAATGTAATCTAACTAAACCTATTCACTACATTAAAATATAAAAATAATGTAAAACCCTCTAAAAAATCGAACTGCGTTATAACAATATCTCGCAATGCACCGAGAAAAACAAATACGATTCTGGTTCCCCTAATTTCGGTAACTCTGACTCACTCAAGAACAAGAACTGATGAACGTCTGTCGGCAGCCGTTGTAGGATTTTTAGGTTCCTATGAGTCTCAACTTAGCGCGTTAGAGTTTGGAATACGTATCCCTCATATTTACAGGCAATTGTTAAAATAAAGAATGAATGCTGAATTTGTTTGGTCTCGGAAGTAATTTTGTAGTATTTAGGATCCACCCTTAAGTTGTAATTTTTATACCTACTAAACTACCGTTGCCCCGCAGGTCTTTCAGTTTGTAATGTAAATTTTCCTCTTAAGACTTCTTTCTAAATTGGAAAACGTTCTAACTGAGGGAATTGTTCTATTCAGAAAACGTTCATAGTATAATTGTCTAGCTTGTTTTGAATTCTTGCGACATTCGCCGTAAATAATTATCATATCGGTGTACTCGATGGAACTAAACAGAGTAGGCATTTTGAAATAATTTGTTAGGACTTGACAAACTCTAAATTATTGCAAACTTTATCAAGTAAAAACTACTAACTTTATTGAGTATTTAAGTTGCACTTCTGTTTGACAAGATTGATATAGTACTGTTTATAAGGCGCTAGAAAACTTACCATAAATTTGACAGCAAGTAACTTGATGAAAATGAAAAAAAAAACGAATCTCACTTATTTATAGAGCGATTTCAAAATTTTAAGAACAGTTATACAGAGAAAAGTAGCGACTACAAAAATTAGCAGAAAAAAAATTAGAGTGTCGGTTATAATATTTGAGGGGGTTGTTCCAGGGGGGTAGTTTTTGAGGGTGGGTCATCAAATTTTTATTTGTTTCAAAGTACACCGCCAACTATAATTGATGACTTTTATCCGGTTCGATTATCTTGCATGGTTTAGAAGTTACAGCATGGGTAAAACAATTTGGGACACCCTGTATATAAATTAAGTTATAAAATAAATTAGCTTATAAATGTAAATATAAATTAAAATAAATAAACGTGACATTGGTATCAGATGTGGGATACTGTCAATAAATAGTTGGTAAAAATGGCTACAAAAACTATGTGATTTGAAAGTGATAGAGCTGTGTCGGGAATTAGAAGAACGTGAACTGAAGACGACAGAGACGGAAGCAAAGCAATAGAATGTGAAGGTTTGGATCTGGAAACGTATCTATTTTCGGATGATGCGCCTTTTAAAATTTCTTCAATCTCTTCCTTTAAAAATGAAATGTCTTCTGAAGTTTTTTCTATAAGAAATGAAATTTCTGCTGATGGTAAAAATAAAGTTCTAAAAAATAAAGGAACAAAAATAAAAAAAATGGAGAAAACAGAACAGGTAAAAGACAATAAAATAAAGTGCCATGAGGTCGAGTCGAAGCCAAAATTGGAAGAAATTGTAATCTCCGCTCGTGTTAAAGCCTCAACTTTCCATGGAAAGATCTCACCGAAAAATTACCTGAATTATCTGCAAGAGCAACTGAATTATCTGAAATAAAAATGCAGTAAATCTGACGATTGCCCTTCGATGTTTAAGATGTTCTTCAGACTATACCTGTTGAAGAGGAGGATGATTTCGAACAACTTAAAAAGAGATTGAACATACGATATGACTACGAACACTTGGCGCATTTAAAGAACTGCAAACAAAAATGAATCGAGAGCCTTAAAATAATACGAATTAGATATTTCCAAGATGGTGCGATTTGTCTACCCATCAGCTTCAGAAAATATGATGGAATGTTGATGGACTCCATGACTATGAAAAGCAAAACACATTCCGTTTAGCCCGTCACAAAACATTTGTCAATGTCTTGTCCGTTGGTCTTGAATTTGAAACAGCTACGCTGGCTTCTGGTGAATACAGTGAAGTAAGGACTGTAAAAGTGAAAAAAGAGGAAAATAAATTCGACCAGCATGATAAAAAGCCTTATTGACAAGAAGACGAAGACTATAAGATGTTGAAATGGGAATTGTACGCAAAAGCCCTAGGATCACTGCTTTATACTAATTTAAAACTGTCTAACTAATGACAGATAATCCATTTATACAAAATTGTTACACCCTAGACAACTCCAGACCTGTTCCGTAGATGCTAGATGTTTCTCGATGGCCTTATTCCCTTACAAATTGACACTTGCGCTAGAGCTTTCTGGTATTTCTCGTAGCAGATTTAATGACCACATCGACACCATGGCGATAACGGAGATATGACGTAAGGGTCGAAAAATCTACTCAAAATGATAGTATAAACATGTAAAGCAACATCAAAGTGTTCGGTAAAATGTCTGATAAGTCTGTGTAGGACTCACTAGCGATTAATCTCTTAGTTAAAAATAGGCAAGGGTTCAATGATAAAGGAATAAAAAAATCGTTTTATTGAATATATTCTATATTTTTCTAATAAACTTATTTGTTTACAGGTGCTTCCAATAATATGAGATTAAAATGGCCCACATGGGATCAAACACAAAAAGTATTGACAAGGAAGAAAATAATCAAGAAGGAAGGTGACTCAAAGTTAGCTAAAGTATTAACAACGTTCGATTTAACAGCGCTAGGAATTGGTAGCACTCTAGGAGTAGGAGTTTATGTTTTAGCAGGAGACGTAGCAAGGAATACTGCAGGTCCTGCAGTGATAATATCGTTTTTTATAGCAGCCGTGACTTCAGTATTAGCAGGTAAAATATTAGATATAATTAAGCAAAATTATGCTACAAGCTACAATAAAGTTTTATAGGCAATACTAATTAATTGTAACTAATCGAAAATAATAGAAAAATTAAAAACCGATTATTCGATTAATAAAAAAAAAAATTAATCCAATAATTAAAACACTGATGAATCAATAGTCAATATTTAAAAAAAAAATTATCGATTATTTTTCCATAGTTATAATGCTGTATTTTTATTTTGATGTTCCAGTAAGTTTTTTCTTGCTTGTATATTTGCCTCTTATATTATTCAAACTTAACTTCTTAATCTTTCAAGTTTTTCAGTTACTTATGGAAGTGTACAAATTCCAAATCGTACTGAAAATACTATTAAATTTCATGTGCACTTCTTTTAATGAAATCGTTATTCCCAGAAATACCACTATGGGTCAATTTTATAATCAAATCAATATTAAAAAGGCACTTTATATATTATATCCATTTTATAATACATATTTATTGAAAAAGTATACTGTTTGCTCCTTTAGATGCTTAAAACGTACTTTTAACAACTAATATTTGACGTATGACATTTTGACTACATCGCGCTATTGCTGTGTTATATGGTTTCAAGTGAACAAACAGACAAATTTAATGCAATTTTGGAAATATGAAAATGAATAATCCTCAATTCTCCTTACGAAATTATGAAATCAAAAAAGAATTGAAAAAGCTGAGAGTTAAAGAAATGGGTGCTTGACCAGGGATTGAACCTGGAACCTTCGGACTGTAGCCGTCCATCCTCTTATCAGTTGAGCTATCGAGATATCAATCACATTCAGACTTTCATCGGCGCAAACACAAATTCTGATCGCATCCCAGCTTTCCTAATTCTTCTTAAAGTCAACTCTGTGATATCGCGTAGAAAGGACGTACTAGTATACATTTCTATGATCCTTTATTTGTTCACCAATGTTAAGTTTTCGAATACAGTCCGCCGTATACGTAAAACGACTAGAGCCATGAAAGTCATTCTTAGTCTCACTCCCCTTGATATTTATATCAAGGAGGTTACTCTGACGACAATGACACGCCTCCACACGGTCGGAATAGAACCTTATGTAGGATCTGGTGAGACGAGACGTCACTTTTGGCAGGAGGCGCTCGATACCATTCCATTGCTTCAAGCGAACATGGAATCCATCTCACCGAAATATATCTTTCATAAGCCATATACAGTTATAATAGAACAAATAGAAGAGCCGGAAGTGGTGGTACGATTCATATCTACACCGATGGTTCTAAAACAAAACAAGGCTCAGGATGTGGAATATACTCCAGATTCTTAAACCTAAACATAAAATGGGCTTTAAGCAATAGTGCCAGTGTAGTTCAAACAGAGCTAACGGTGATTCTCATAGCAGCAAAAGAAATAACCAGAAATAATATCACTAGAAGGAACTTGCTCATCTATACAGATAGCAGACAAGCATTACTCACCCTGAACAGACCACGTATTTATTCAGGGTTAGTACTAGAATGTCACGAAGCTTTGGCCGAAGTATCCATCAACAATGTGGTCACCTGAAGGTTACGCTACATCGAAATGTAACCGTCTTGCTGATTCACTAGCCAAGAAAGCAGCCAACCAAATACTTTTTGGACCTGGCCCTTCTATTCTATCTGACAAAATCGGTAGTGACAGACCTAATCAAAGAACATTCCCTTGTGAAATTCAAGGAAAGATGGGATGAAACAAGAAACTGCAGAGTTGCCAGGGAGCTCTCAAGTTATCCTGACAATACTGCAGCAAACAAATACTTGACTATGACTATGACAAGACAGAATCTGCGCCTAGTCACAGGCATTCTGGCTGGTCATTGCCAAGTACGAGAACATCTCCATATCATGGGGCTGTCAGAATCCGCACTTTGCAGAGGATGCGAACAAGAAGATGAGACCATCGAGCATATCCTTTACGATTGCTCGACGCTCTCATTTATTAGAAGATTTGTGTTCGGCGAGTATCGGCTAACACCGGCCGATATAAGAGAAGCACCTCTTGGCGACGTTGTCAACTACATTAAATCTGTAGGCTGGGTCACGAGCTAGGCCTAAGTGCCGTGGGGTAACCCACCCTCCACACGTAACAGAAACAGAGAGAGATACGTGAAACGAAAGGAAGTTAAGTAAGAAAAATCGGTTAAGATCCAAAGAACTGAAATGAAATTTTGAAAATATAGACCAGAGCATACTGGCGCATTCGTTTGCAAAATTGTTTTAATTCGTATTTTTTTTTTTTAATATCCAGAAGGCTTGCCTAATTATAAAAGTGTAAGATGACACTCGATATTTGTTGATGTTATTGTTTAAACAACGAAAAATTAATTAAGCCATAAAAAATGCATTTTTTGCAATGAATTAATTTTTTTTATATTCTTTAGAATATTTCGAATAAAAAAAGTCCTTACGCCCATCATCGTATCTTCAACCCTTTAATTGTTATGAATTTTTTAAAATCCAAAATTGACGAAAATTCTAATTTTCTTGAATTAAATAATATACTTTAAAATTTAAAATGCTATAATTTTAAATTTTTTACCGAATATTCAAACTATAATAAACAAAATAACCCAAATAAATTTTCAAAATTTTGTTTGTTGTTATGTTTTTTTACGTTATAACAATATGCTTCCTACGCGCCACGATGCCACGAAAAAGATTGTTCACTAATATTTTTATTAAACAACAAATTAAATCGCACAGTCACGTTATCGTTTCGATGAAAAGTTGCATTTTTTAATTTTAAATATGTAAAAGGTTTCGAACACTTCACTAACGCCTCGCCATGATCACAAAATAAACACTTTTTGTCGTCAGATAATATAATTTTTTTGAAATTAAAGAGAATGACATTTTTATTCAGAAAATTACACGATTGCAGAGTAAACCAGTAGATGTAGAATCGAGCAAGACTGATTAACAACTGAAAAATAATTTTCAAAACGAGCCAAAAATTCTAAGGTAGGGTTGAATTTTCTATTTGGAAGGTTGTAAAAATTGTTTATGACAGGAAAAAAAAATAGAAGAAGAGTTAAACGTACAATTTTTTCAAAATACGAAATAAGTCCCTTTACCTATTTGTATTCATAGTGCAAAAGATTGAGAATCATAAAAAAATTTCATCTCTATAGTACTTACTCTCAATATTAGAAAAAACAATTTTTTTCCTTATTTTTGTTAAATGGAGAAAGGCTTGGATATTTTTGAAATCATAAAACTTTATAACCCCAGTAAGCCTACTATGTTCATTGTAACAGGTAGAAATTTTTCACGGATCACGACAAGTGCATTTGGCCTTTTTATCGTATTGAAAAAAAAGGTTGAAGAAAATTTTACTTCTCAGGCAGTATCTGACAATAATTTTTTCATGAATAAAAATAAATGTTAAAAATAAATGTTTCTTTTAACTTTAATAAATAAAAAAGTTATCAAAAGTATCTAAAAAAGTAAAAAAAAATCACATGATACAAAACTATTAATCGGCAAATATAACAAAGTGTTATGAAAAGTGTTAATAATAATTTTTTTAAACTTCTTACCTCTGAAAAACAGCAAACAGCGCGTCATCGGGCTTTCTCTTACCCATCTTATACATTGAGTTGGAAGTGAGATAGAAGTACTTCTCTCTAAAAGTACACGCGCGTAGGAAGCATATTGTTATAACGTAAAAAAAACATAACAAACAAAATTTTGAAAATTTGTTTAGGTTATTTTGTTTATTGTACTTTGAATACTCGGTAAAAAAATTTAAATTATAGCATTTTAAATTTTAAGGTATATTATTTAATTCAAGAAAATTAGAATTTTCGTCAATTTTGGATTTTAAAAAATGAATAACAATTAAAGGGTTGAAGATACGATAATGGACGTAAGGACTTTTTTTATTCGAAATATCCTAAAGAATATAAAAAAAATGAACATCAACAAATATCGAGTGTCATTTTACACTTTTATAATTAGGCAAGCCTTCCGGACATTTTAAAAAAAAAATTACAAATTAAAACAATTTTGCAAACGAATGCGCCACTATGCCCTGCACTAATATGAAAATATCAGTTTTTTGGATCTCAACCGATTTTTGTCACTTTACTTTCTTTTATTTTATTTCACGTTTATGGTGCAGCGTACTCGAAAACACTGGTGAACGAATGAAGGATCTTAGAAATTTATTCATTTAGGAAAATTTAAACTTTAAATAATATTATTTTAATTAAATGCGCCTTTAGGATTCGATTATCAAATTGGCCCTATACTATTTGATTAATTAACAATAATAAAACTTTTTTTTAGGTCTATGTTACGCAGAATTTGGGGCTAGGGTACCAAAGGCCGGTTCTGCATATGTGTATAGTTATGTTTGCATAGGAGAATTTTTTGCCTTCATTATAGGATGGAACTTAATATTAGAATATCTTATAGGTAAGGTATTTTATAATCTTATAATAAAAAATATTTTTGAATTTTTTTGAATGCAGTAATGTTTTTATATAGAGTAAAGAAAGCGAATAACATTTTTTTAAACAAACAACATTTTATCAAAAAATTAATTGTCTAATAAATATAATTTCAATAAATATTTTATAAACGATAAATTTTCTATAAATAAATATAATCTGAAGGGGTATTGCTAAGTCGACATAACCATCGTTTTTTAAATCACATTATCTCTCGTAAAAAAGTTAGGCAAAGGTATGGAATTGCGCCCCTCTAACCCATTTTTAAAATATTACCTTTATTTTTTCCTAAAAAAATATTGTAATCCTACAAAACAAAGCTTCCAGTGAACAAACAAAATACGTATTATACAAAAATATAAAATAGTCAAAAATAAAACAAATATATTTTTTAAAAACTGTGCAGGGGGGCTATTTTCAAACTCGAGAGAATTCATTTCTCTCAAGAGAAATGTCATACGTCAACGTAAAACATTATTTTTAGGGCTCTTAGGGCTAGTGTGAACTCACTGACTGTTTCTCTCGGTTTATTTAGAGATAATTAAAATTCTCCTAAGAATTTTAATCGCCGAGGCCTTTAAAAACAGCGTTTCCACATTGACATATGACATTTCTGATGAGAATCTTGAGAGAAATGAGTGCTCCCATACTTTGAAAATAGCCCCCCAGTGGTCCTCATTACCCAACACAATTAGGTAATGGTGGCCTAGGACGCAAATACCCGCATTGAGCCGTAAACCAGATGGCATCGCATTGAAGGCCATAAAATATTTTTACCATTTTTACTTTCCTATCTGTATACAGATATAAGGAAAGTATATGAATCATGATTTTTTTCGACATCGAGTTTTCGACGAATTTTTACGTTTTGAGGTCCCCTGAATCTGTTTTGACTGTTTTCGCGAATTATAGTTATTATAGTATACAGGATTGGCTCAAATGTGTGGAATAATGAGTGTAACTCTTAAAATAACGAAAATATAAAATATTATTTTAATTAAAGTTGTTTTGTAGTTCAATAAAAATTTTATTATGATATTTCAAATTTTTTTAATTGTTACCCCCCCTTTTTACTTTCCTATCTGTGTGTGGGTGTGTGCGTGTGAGGGTGCGTGTGCGTGTGCGTGTGCGTGTGCGTGTGCGTGTGCGTGTGCGTGTGCGTGTGCGTGTGTGTGTGTGTGTGTGTGTGTGTGTGTGTGTGCGTGTGCGTGTGCGTGTGCGTGTGCGTGTGCGTGTGCGTGTGCGTGTGCGTGTGCGTGTGCGTGTGCGTGTGCCTGTGCCTGTGCCTGTGCCTGTGCCTGTGCCTGTGCCTGTGCCTGTGCCTGTGCCTGTGCCTGTGCCTGTGCCTGTGCCTGTGCCTGTGCCTGTGCCTGTGCCTGTGCCTGTGCCTGTGCCTGTGCCTGTGCCTGTGCCTGTGCCTGTGCCTGTGCCTGTGCCTGTGCCTGTGCCTGTGCCTGTGCCTGTGCCTGTGCGTGTGCGTGTGTGTGTGTGTGTCTGTATCCACCATAACTCATGAACCGATGCACAGAAAAACACCAAATTTTAAACTTAAGCTTTATTCCATCGTCCAATGAACTGATTGGGCGGAGTCGGAACATCTGGGGGGATACTTTATAGGTGGTCATTTTTATATTTTATGGAATATATGTTATTTATGTTTCGAGAAGAAAATTGTTTAAATAAAAGTTACTTCTAATATTATTATCTTTAATTTTTGTTTTATACAAAATTTTCCTAAAATGGTCCGTATTCGAGAAATTTGACAAAATGAAAAAATTTATTTTTTTATAAAAATTGTTTAAATAAAAGTTGTTTATAATATAATTCTCTATAATTTTTATTCTATACATAATTTCTCTAAAATGGACCATATTAGAGATATTTGAGAAAATGTATAAATTTCGAATTTTGAAGAAAACTCAAAAACGGATAAAGAAAAAACATGAAATTTTAAACTTAAGTTTTATTTTGGCCTGACGTAAAATGATTAAATTTTGAACAAAGTCGAAACGTCTGGGGGGGTACTTTATGGGGAGCCGTTTTTATATTTTATGTAATATATCTCTTATTAATGTTTGGAGAAGAAAATGGTTCAAATAAAAGTTACTTCTAATATTATTATCTATAATTTCTGCTTTATGTCAAAATTTCCTGAAATGGTCCGTATTCGAGAAATTTGACAAAATGTGCAAAATTCTGATTTTTATGAAAATTGTTGAACTAAAAGTTGTTTGCGATATCGATCTCTATAATTTTTGTTTATATATGATTTTTCTAAAATGGACCGTAATGGAAAAATTGGAGGAAGAGTGCTAAATTAAAATTTATCAGTATTTTCGTTTTCAATGAATATCTATAGAAAAATGTTTCGAGGTAGATGTATGGGAAAATATATATATTTAGTTTATCCTCTAACTATTTATAGAGGTGCTGCAATAGGTTGTACAAAATAACCGGAAAGAGCCTATAATAACTAGATAGGAAAGTCATGTGTTGGACACATCAGATTTTTTGTTCTACCCTGCAAAGTTCTTCTAGCAATACGTGTGTCTTTTTATCCAACTGTTGCAACAACGTTGGCATCGGTGCGGTATCTACCTGTCTTTTTTTTTCATCAATCTATCAGTGATGAACTAGCAGCGCTGTCTTTTTATCCAACGTTGATGCAATCGATGCAACACCATTCCATTATGGTTTTTCCGATTAGATGTGAGAACTGACAGCTGGATTGCGGGAATTAATCAGAAGTTAATTAATTAATTGTTTTATTGTGTGAAAAACCGAAAAAATGAGCTTTAAAAATTATATACGTTCAAATTAAAGTATATAGGTACATTTAAATAAAATTATAAAGGCAAATTTTAATCCAAAATGTCAACTGTTATTTATTTCAACGGTCAACCATAAATAAATCGAATCCAACACAAGGCGTTCAAGGCCGCATCGGTAAAACAACGATTCCAATAAACTGGAAAAAAAGACACACGTAATATAAACATATTTTCTACTAGCTGTTTCCTGTGGCTTTGCATGCGTCTTTATAATATAAAAAATGCTTGAGGGCTCAAAAAAGGAGCGACAATATGCTTTTTAAGGTTCATAATATGTGATAGTAAGTAGTAATCTATTATTTAGTGTAGTAATCTAAATATGAATCTCATTGCGCACATAAAATTATCCGTGAGAAAAGCCGTCATTCCTTAGGCTTCATTTTTATTTATTTTTATTTATTATTATTTATTTTTATTTATTTTTATTTGTTTTTATTTATTTTTATTTATTTTTATTTATTTTTATTTATTTTTATTTATTTTTATTTATTTTTATTTATTTTTATTTATTTTTATTTATTTTTATTTATTTTTATTTATTTTTATTTATTTTTATTTATTTTTATTTATTTTTATTTATTTTTATTTATTTTTATTTATTTTTATTTATTTTTATTTATTTTTATTTATTTTTATTTATTTTTATTTATTTTTATTTATTTTTATTTATTTTTATTTATTTTTATTTATTTTTATTTATTTTTATTTATTTTTATTTATTTTTATTTATTTTTATTTATTTTTATTTATTTTTATTTATTTTTATTTATTTTTATTTATTTTTATTTATTTTTATTTATTTTTATTTATTTTTATTTATTTTTATTTATTTTTATTTATTTTTATTTATTTTTATTTATTTTTATTTATTTTTATTTATTTTTATTTATTTTTATTTTTATTTATTTATTTTTATATTGTTATTTATTTTTATTCATTTTTTTAGAGCAAATTTACTTTTTAAATTCTATCAATTAATTACTTTATATTTATTTTTACGATATTCCATATCTCCACCCTCCTTTAAATGTGAAAATCCAAAAGCCCTGAAATGCGTCATTATTGACTTACAAATTACAAATTCCTACCTTTAAAAAACCGAAGGTCTCATTAATATCTAAAAATCCAAAAACCTTGTAACATGTCTGTTTATTTATGATGAGTACCTAGTTACAATTATTTCAATTTTCAAGTTCTTACCTTGCATTCGGAACAAAAGGCTTTAAAACATAAAAACGGTTTTCAAAATTACATTAAGGAAGTATATTTGCATTCTTAATGCCAGTTATTATCAGTTTAATGTCGTTCTCTGGTCACAATATTGTGGTAGAAGGGGATTTCCAGGAAACTGCACCATTCAGTGTGCCAACAGTGTAAAGCAGGCAACTTAGTTGTACATATACAATTAAATACTATCACATCAATTAAAAAGGCTAATAGAAATTGTTTTACAGAAATCAATATTTTTTGCTACATTAACTAATAATATACGCTATCAAAGAAGAGAACTCATAACTCAACTCATAGCACTGTTTCAAAGAAATGACTGTATTATTCGACAATCCCTTACTTTACTCTATTAATTTTTGTCAATAAGTTACGACTTAAAAAATTATTATTATAAAAAAATAGTAGGTATTTTTAAAAAATTATATATTATAAAATATTATTACTAACCAGATAGTGCCTCTATCAGATAGCACTATTCAAAATCATAATGTTAACAAAATATAATATAGTTCACATTGATATACTTTTGCTTTTAACTGTGTGTCTATATTATGTATATTTTTTAGGTTCCGCTGCTAGTACCAAAGCTATTTTTCTGTATATTGATGAACTAGCGAATAAAACAATGGCGAGTTTTTTTGAAGAAAATATGCCTTTGGGTGGAAACCAAGTATCTCACTATGCAGATCTATTTTCTTTGGCTTTGGCCATTTCATTTTCAGGTTAGTAGATATTCTAATTTTCTATAGTGCATTTTCGGTCAACTATTGTAACACCATGTATACACTGTACAATTTCCTTTTAAAAATAGAATACTACAAAAAGTAGTTTACACCTCTTACAGTCTGAAACATTAAATTAAATTAGCCATTGCAATTTCATCAGTTCAGAATATGGTAAAAGGTGGTGTTGGTCACTCGGGCACAGCCGACAAACGCCGAATTTCCACAAATATTCTTTTTGTTTTATATAAACACAGTGTCTAGGTACACGCTAACTTGTACGCAATTCAAAAATTTATATACACGCGAAACGTCTTGATAGAGTAGGTGAGCTGTATGCAGGCCGTTGGTGTTTACGCCGGTCGTAGCTAGGTATGGATTGAAATTTTTTTGTGGCGGTGAAGCCGCCATCCTACGAGAAGTCGTTACTTCGTTTTCTTGTTGTCACGTCATTATTATTATTTGTTCATGTATGTGAAATTTGCTTCTAAAGTTTATAAAATACTACTGTGCTAGTCACGGCGTAAATGAAAACAAACAAGACGCATTCACACAAACACCTCCCACCATAGCAATATGACGTTTCGCGTGTATATAATTTTTTGATTTGCGTACACTTTAGCGTGTACCTAGCAACAGCGTTATATAAACGACTTATACGCGTTTAATAATGGCAATGCCGTGTGAACATTGAGAATGCAGTGTGAAGTCTTATGAAGCGCGCAGTTGCCAGCCGTCGCTATGCTGGGAACGCCCAAAAAAAACGGGTTTAAATTTTATCTTAAAATTTGTATGTTCAATAACAAATAATAAACAATGAATTTCAGAATTGCAAATTTATAATAATTACAAATAATAAACAAAGTTTACGCAATAAAATGGGCTGTGAGTAATAGTGTCAGTGTATTTCAAACCGAGCTCGGGGATTCTCTTAGCAGCAAAAGAAATTACCAGAAATAATATCACTGGAAGAAAGATGCTGATCTATACAGATAGAGACAAGCATCACTCACCGTGGACAGACCACGAATTTATTCAGGGTTAGTACTAGAATGTCACGAAGCTTTGGCTGACGTATCCATCAATAATGTGGTTATAGTAAGAGAGCCAGCCCACTGTAAATTACGACCGCCATCTGATAACAAAATTAAATATGCTCCAAAGAGATGTAACAACATTGTATTTTACCAAATTGCACCTGTGCCAATCTCTAATCCTGAGCAAAGTGGTTAAAAAAAAAATTATATCCAAAAAATCGCATAAGACATGACAACGATAATTGCGTTTTCCCTAAAAATTACAATCCTAATTCATTGTGAACCTAGCTTTTAAACCTGAATTATTAATATTTTTTCCTACCTTTTGCAGAGATAGTCAATAATAATTATAAACTCTTGTTAGACAATTCTTTTAAACCATAATCTTAGTAGTTTTTTGTCGTTTCTATGGCAACCTGTAAAAATGAATCAACAATAGGCATACAAATAAATTTTTAAACCAGCAAAAATTGATTCATATTTTTAATGATTTTTACCTACTAATCGTGTGTAGATCTTTTTATGCGATGTTAAGATATATTTGAATATGTTATCTAGAAAACTTTAAGGGCAAACAAAATTAGCGCTGTCATACCTTATGTGATTTTTTTAATATACATTTTTTTTAACTACTTTGCTTAGGATTGGGATTGGCACAGGTGCCATTCGATAAAGTACAATGTTTTTACAAGCTTTTGGGGTATATTTTATTTCATTATCAGATGGCGGTAAAAATTTGCAGTGGGCTCTTGGGCTATTATAATTTGTTTCTGTATGTGCCAGGGATACAAATCCGAGTTGCGCAATGTATAAACTGGAACATTGAGATCAAAAGTGCCGACGCAGAGGAGCGAACTGATTCTTTAGCTATAAACTGTGGCTTAACATTAGCTCTCTACAGGGTGGGCCACTTAAAAGTTCAACCCCTTATCTTCGTTATTCATTGAGATATCGGAATAATTTTTTTGTTTGTTTGATAGACTGAAACAAATACTTTCTTATGATGGATTCAATTATTCTGTGACGTAATGGCTTACTTCCGGTTATTCCGGAAATAACAGAAAATCGTAATTTATTTTTTATTTTTAAATTGAAACCCCCTTTTTTGTTGTAAATTTGAATTTCTTGGACATTTTTGTATAATAATCTTGTATTGAAAATTTTCTGGCAGCTGTCAAACTGACCGCCATATGGGAAAATATTTTTTCTAAACATATTAATATTAATTCGTTTATGGAAAAAAATATAGGAATGTTTGATCTTCATACAATCTTTGTTAGCTTCAAAATTTCCATTGAGACCTATTTATCGTATACCAGTGGCGTATTTAAGCATTTTTATTATTAGCAAACTGTTTAATAATTCCATCCGCTTTTATCTTCGTTGTTAATTGATATATCGGAATGAGAACTTTTTTATTTAAAAGCTTATAACAGATACTTTTATATACTGGATCCAATTGGTCTGTGACGTCATGGCTTACTTCCGATTTTTCTGGATATAACTTAAAATCGCAATTAATTTTTTATTTTAAAACCGAAATCTCTTTTTTATTGAAAATTCAAATTTCTGGGAATATTTTTGGATAAGGAGCGCGTATTGAAAATTTTCGGTCAGCTGTCAAAATGGCCGCCATATTGGATAATATTTTTTTCAAACAGGTTACAATTAGTTCGTTTATGGAAAAAATATGGGAATGTATGATCTTCATAAAATCATTTTGTTAGCTTCAAAATTCCTATTGAGACCCACTTACACTACACCAGTGGCGTATCTAAGCATTTTCATTAATGGCAATTCCATCCCGCTTTTATCATTATTGGTAATTGAGATATTGGTACAAAAACTGTTTGTTTAGGGTTTCAAATAAGAATGTATTCTTAGCAAGGAGGGCAAGATCTAGTAAAATAATTCAACACTATAATATTTCAAAATATTTATTTTTCTATGCATTTTAATAATAAATTACAAATTAGTAAAGAAAAATCTTACAAATTAGTAAAGAAAAATCTTTAAAGTCATTTATCTCAAAATGGCTGATTTTGAGACATTACAATTTTGAACTTGGACAGCGATATATGCAACCAAGAATACATGCTCCAAACACATTGACACTACTGGTCTCCTATTAGAAAAATACATTGCTCATAATGCATTCTCAGTGTGCCCCGAACTATATTACTGAAATTTAACTGCGGTAAGTCGACACACAAGTATCTAGCATTTGCCATATAACTCTCAAATGGATAATATTCGATGTTTTAGACCAGTGGTCGCCAACCTCTCAATGTGTTGAGCTACTTTGTTAATTTTGGAATAAATAGCGAGCTACCCACACGGAAGCCACGTAACGCAACGTAAATGAAATAATCCACAGTTAATTTATCATTATATGTATTTATTTTACTATTTAACTGGTAATACATAATACATAGGTGCTAATAATAAACTAATAACAAAATAACTAATATTACTAGTACGTACTTGTTCATAGCTACATTCCTACCTACCAAACGAAGGTGTTTGAAAAATAAACACAAACTTTTATCCAGCCACAACGGCATGTCACGTAAGATTTAAAAATAGTTAATAATAACAACAAAAAAGTAACGTACTATCATGAACATAAACATTGAAAAATAAAAAAGCACGTTCAATGAGAAGGCTAACACTCAGACTCATCGATAATTTTTTTAATGTTTGCAGTATAATTTGATACAGCCATTCAAATACAATTATCCAAATGTTCATCTGTAAGTCGATTGCGATATTTGTTCTTAATAAACTTCATATTGGACAAAGAAGATTCACACAAATAGGTTGAACTGAATAATGCTTTCACTTTCAAGGCAACACGGCATAGAACTGAATATTTGTCTTTAATTACAATAGGCCAGATACATTTGGTACTTGAGACTAACGATTTTAAGGCTAAATTATTTTGAAACTCAATAATTACTTCCATTTCTGTTGCAGCGATGTCTTCGCCAAAGTTCTGCATAACACAAGTTGCAAACTGTTGGATATCAATTTCCATAAAGGGTGAAACAACAAACTGCGCTACTAAAGCCATTTCGTTGAAATCCTTAAAACGATTTTTGAAGTTATTCTTCAGGGTAGAAACTATTTCTACATGATATTTGCTGTCATAGAGTTCTAATGGATTTTGAGATATTTTTTCTGAAAGAATAGGAAAATGCTTGGCATCGCTGTTAATAGGGTTTTGTTTCCAAAACTCCAGCTTTTTGATAAATGCTTTCATATCAGAAATCATTTCCGCTAGTTATTTGTCTCTCCCCTGAAGCTGCAAATTAAGTTCGTTTAATTTCTCTGTAATGTCCACGAAAAACCAAAATCTCTAAGCCAGATTGAATTTTCTAGTTCCGGAGTCGGTTCATCGCGTTGTTTGAAAAATTTAACTATGCCAGATAGGACATCATTAAAACGTTTCAGCACCCGTCCTCTACTTAACCATCGGACTTCAGAGTGAAGGAGTAGGTCCCCGTATTGACAGTCAACTTCATCGGCCAAGGTTTTGAATAATCTTCTTTGTCACGCTTGAGCTCTAATCTTGTTCACAATTTTTACCACCAGTTTCATAACGTTGTTTAGTTTCAGGAAATTTCCACATAATGCTTGCTGATGGATAATGCAGTGGTAACAGAGAAATTGCGGAAAAGTTTCATCTTTACGACATAACGCCACCAGACCCTTATCACAACCCACCATAGCTGGAGCGCATCGGTTGTCAAGCCTACCATTTTCGATATTGGAATTTACTCGGAAGAAATAATATTAATTAAATGAGAAAACAACTCCTGTCCAGTAGTGTGTCCTTTCAGTGGAATAAACTTCAAAAGATCGTCTTTAATCGTAAAATCACTAAAAACCATCCTGACGAACACGGCCATCCGGGCAGTGTCAACGACATCTGTTGATTCATCCAGTTGAAGTGAAAAATAAACACAGTTATCTAAGTCAGTTCTTAACTGTAAAAAAATATCATTGCTCATTACTTCTACACGTCTCATCATTGTATTAGCAGAAAGTTGCATAGATTTTATAGCTGAAACTATCTCGTCTTTATTTCTAAAGTTGGCAAATAACGAATCAGCAGCTTCTAAAAACGCCTGTTTTATCATTTCCCCGTCTTCATAAGGTTTCTTTTTTGTGCAATTATCTGGGACACACGGTACGATGCTTCAGTTGCAGCCTTATTTTTGTCGACTGTTCATAAAAATATTGATTGTTGTCCAATTAACTGCTTTTTTAACTGTTTTAGTTTCTCCTTTCTGGCGGCAGAATGTAGTGGGAATGATTTTTCAAAATTAGAATGTACAGTTTTATGATGTCTCTCAATATTTCCTTTTTTTAGCAACGGAGACCGAAGTATAACATAACAAACACACATTTTTATCTTTAACTTCTGTAAAAAAGTATTGTTCTTCCCATTCAGAATGAAAGTGGTATGTCTTTACCTTCTTACAACTGCTTGCCATAATATTATTTTTTGTTGTTCTCTACTAACCCAACTGCTGGACGTTGGTTACGCGTTTAGTTTTAAACCAAGCGCAATGTCGCCGCGCCGTGCGTATTTATCCCGTTCAAAGCAATCCTGATCGTTCTCGAGTACTAACGCGCTGGTCCGGCTGGTCGGTTCTAGCCGATTCTAGCTTGATGGCGTCAGCGGCAGATTGCTCACCGCAACATTGCCGCTGTTTATGTTTAATATTATGACAATTAGATTTTTTTGTGGAAATTTCGGAAGCTTCTCTGATTTTTGCAGTTTGTATTTTTTAAATTAAAATCGTTGTGAGAGCTACCAGAATTACCTCCGCGAGCTACCGGTTGGCGACTACTGTTTTAGTCTGTATTATAATAATATCCATACATTATATTGACGGGGCATTTTCTAATATATTTCATTAATACTTGTTTTTTTTTTAGTTGCACTGGCATGTGGAGCTAAAGAATCCTCAGTAATCAATAATATATTTACTTTTGTTAATTTATCTGTTGTGATCGTAGTTATAATATCGGGAATGTGGAAGGGTAAGTAAATAAATAACTACCATTTCTTTATATTATAAATGATTTTTGTCGCATAAAAATCAAGGCGACATCGTTCTTCAAAATTTCGCTTATTGTATAAAATGCTTACAACTTACAGTTTTTTTCCGCAATTAAAAAATAAATTAACATAAATACAAAAAAAGTCAATACTAAAGGAAGTGGACGAAATTTATTTTTATATTAATTGTTGTACATGTCCATTCAATAAATAGGTTTTTAATAAATTTCACTTTATTAAATTTTTTTTTCGGTTGCTCATATAAATATTCTCCACCTATAAACAAATATAATTCACCATGTTTTCATATGCCTCCTGCCCTTACTTATTTACTCAACATGGAACATATTATCCCCAGTATAGTAGACATTCTTTTCTCTGCACCACTTAAGATTTTCTTTCATCTTGTCACTTTTAGGTACAAACCCTAAACTGACACTAATACATTAATCTTTAATTTTGCCCTTCTGAAGACTGCGCTGATCCACATCAGCACATCTCAGCAGTTTGTATTTTTTTCAGATCTTTCTTCACTTTCAAACATTTCGTTTCGTATATCAAAAGCTGAGTTGCCAGTTTTTATTTTATTTTTACTGGTACCCAGGGCTGGTATATCTAAGGGGGTCGCGACATAGACCCAGTAAATGGATGAGGGGGTGACTGAGGCTAGGGGGGAAATAGTAGTCAGCTTAAGTTGGCAACACTTTTCTGATGTTCGTTTGAACGAGCATCGTGCATAATAATGTCAATATGGTACAAGTGGAATGAACCACTGTTTTCCTCGTAGTCGTCAGTAGTCGTAGTCCAATGTCGAATTAAAACTAAAAACATTTTGTACTTTTTTATATACCAAATTATGCAATTTGTTTCCACTTTATTTTAATGTTACATGAATAGGTACATGCGTTTGTGCTGTGGTAAATAAGTGTTCATGTGAAAATTATATCTTAAACTACATTGTGATTGTGACTGCACTCATCTCAAAACTGAATGCTGTAAATCCAGGATTTAAATCTTTCATAGTATTGCTTGGGATAACTTGTAAAAAAGGTGTTGGACAAAACGTTTACAACCTTAAAGTGCATGAAAAACACGATAGAAGAAGGAATTTTACCTTTGACATTCTCTTTCAACATTTTTAAGTGACTTTGTGGTTTGGTGAATGGACTGTTACCACAGTCAAAAGATTCAAAGTAAAAAAAGTGACCAAGTTCTAATTAGAATACATAAGTTGAATATGAAAATGTAATTACTTGATTTAAATGTGATTTAATTAAGAGTTACATAGATGTTTCATATAAACAAAGTGCTGTAAAATGTTAATAAATGCAAAACCATTATTAAAGAGAAATTAGTTATCATCAATAAGATATTTTGTAGTAGCTGGTCTCTATAAATAATAAACTTGAAAGACTGAATTAGTAGTCACTTTTACACTAGAAGTAAAAACAACAAAAAATGTGTGGTTGAGACTAATTTGTGTATTTAATAAAAACATATTTAACATAAAAGCAGGTGTTATTTGAAATGTTTTATTTTAGTTTAATAATCTAATTGTGGGTACATTTGCTCCGAATCTTGCAAATACTATAAACTGTATATGCTTCTATATGGTTAGTATTGGAGTAGAAGCACAAAAGTTTTGAATAAAAATATATTCTTTAAATACAATATTCACTAGATATGCTAATTTTGGTAATTTTCTATTCGAAACCATACATGTTTTCTATTATAGTTTTCATACGTTTATAATTCTGGAGATACCGGAATATTTTGCTTGATTACTAAACTTTGGATGTTTTTGTTGTAGTCTGCTGTTAACACTATTGTCCTGAAATATTAAAAAAGCTAGACAAAGGTTTGTTCAACTCTTTTGTCAGCTTTGTTAATCTATGCTACTGTTATTCTGCATGCAGACATTTTTTACTGGAGATCTTCTCTAAGAACTGTATTCAGTTTCAAATTTCGGCCAGTTTTTGGAAAGTACCTCTGTTGTAAAGGTATTTCAAAGCCATCCTTTGTGAGATGTAGACAACAAATACATGCTAAAATGTATAGAAAACAAATCGCAAGATATTACACAAAATTATTTAAATTAACTAAAAACATACAAATGAAGTGAATAATACCTACCAACAATTTAAAAAGACCTAAAATAAGTAGACTTAAGGGACTGGAGCTCTAAAAAAGGGAGCAATAATTTGTTATGCATCATCTATAAGAAAATTGTCTTCATCTCTTCAATTACCTTTTAAAATAAACAAAACCAAAACAGCACAAAATTGAAAGTGATCTACTTTTCCCGACGTATTCTATGTACATCTGAGATTAATAATTTATTAAATTGAAATATTTTATCCTAAAAAATATGGGCATTTTATAATGGAAATGTCATTTAAAAAATGACATTGATTTTTTTTCTTATATTGGTAAACCTGGCGACTACAAGTTGCCACGTTGCCAGATCAATGGCGACTACTATGTGACTACTATTTCGAAAAAAATGGCGTCCAAAATGGACTCCTATGTCGCGACCCCCTTAGATATACCAGCCCTGCTGGTACCCGCCTTTCACTACATGAATTTTCTTTTCTTCTTTTCTTCTTTTCTTCTTTTCTTCTTTTCTTCTTTTCTTCTTTTCTTCTTTTCTTCTTTTCTTCTTTTCTTCTTTTCTTCTTTTCTTCTTTTCTTCTTTTCTTCTTTTCTTCTTTTCTTCTTTTCTTCTTTTCTTCTTTTCTTCTTTTCTTCTTTTCTTCTTTTCTTCTTTTCTTCTTTTCTTCTTTTCTTCTTTTCTTCTTTTCTTCTTTTCTTCTTTTCTTCTTTTCTTCTTTTCTTCTTTTCTTCTTTTCTTCTTTTCTTCTTTTCTTCTTTTCTTCTTTTCTTCTTTTCTTCTTTTCTTCTTTTCTTCTTTTCTTCTTTTCTTCTTTTCTTCTTTTCTTCTTTTCTTCTTTTCTTCTTTTCTTCTTCTTCTATGTTTATTCAAAAGTTAACATTGAACTCACACCTAGAAAACAGTAAAACAGCATATATTGTGTGGTATTTATCTCGGACGAAGTGCCTGTAGCCACAACCGTCTGGCAAGAGCTGACTTGACAAGCAGGACAGCAGGGTGACAATAGTGACAACGAGGACAGAAGACGACCCCACGAATACCCACGGAGCTTCCTCCTATCCTCTGCTTGAATATTTTTAATTGTTAAATGTTATTTACCCAGTTTGTTAGAGACAGTGTTTCAATTACACAGCTATACTACACATTGCTTATAACAATGCCGCCGAACCGTGGGGCGCACCTGGGGGCTCTCCCTCAGAGTCCTAACATGGATTTATACGGCCATCATAAGACCTGTGCTAACCCAACAATTTGGAGCAAACTAAAACAAATTCAAAGAACAGCATCTCTCAACATAACAGGAGCCGTGGAAACCACAACGACCAGAGCCATGGAAGTCATTCTTAGTCTTACTCTCCTTGATATTTACATCAAGGAAGTTACTCTGATGACAATGACACGCCTCCGCACTGTTGGAATGGAACCTGGTGTAACATCTGGTGAGACGAGACGTCGCTTTTGGCAGAAAGCGCTTGATACGCTCCCACTGCTTTAAGCGAACATTGACCATCTATCCGAGATATATCTTCCAAAAGCCCTATAAAGTTATAAACAGAATAAAATAACCGGACGGGGTTATAAAATAAAACAAAGTGCAGGATGAAAAATATACTCCAGGTCCTTAAACCTAAACTTTAAAAAAGGGGTGTGAGAAATAGTGCCAGTGTAGTTCAAAGCGAGTTCACGGGGATTCTATAGCAACAGAATAAGTTAACAGAAACAATATCACTGGAATTAACATGCTCATCTATACGGATAGCAGACAAGCACTACTTACCCTGGTCAAATAAAAATGGCGTCCAAGATGCAAGACTATGTCGCTACCCCCTTAGATATACAAGAACTTCCCACTGGCACCTATTGTTTCACAGGTCGTTGGAATATCTAATTGTCTATTATTTCGGTATTCAACTATAGACAGAATCTGCGCATGATAACAGGCAACACATCTTGTAACTAATGGAAAATTAAATACTTAAAATTTGTTTTAAACACTGTAATTTTATCAAAAAAGAAATGCGCGAAAAGAATTTTGTGAAATTTCCAGTATTTCCATTTCACCATTTCCCACACTTTCATCGAAAAATTCTCGTATATGTTCTATATTGGGTTTCTTAGTTTCTCGAATTGAAAAATATATCTTTTTTGGTTACCAAGTATTATTTTTTTACCCAAATGTATGACTACCACATAAAAATTATTTATTTTAGTTGATATTCGAAATTGGAATCGAACCAAAGAGGAAGCCGGTGGTAAAGGCGAAGGTGGTTTTAATCCATATGGAATAAAAGGGATTGTACAAGGCGCAGCACGTTGTTTTTATGGATTTATCGGGTTTGACTGCATAGCCACAGCAGGTATTTATTCTTAAATCTGTTAATTTCATTATAAAAGAAACATATTGGTGTAAAACATAAGAAATGTCAATTAGGGGTCACATCGCTGCTATATTATTGTAGTCTAAGACCCTGTTATTTTGAATAAACATAGTTAACATAAAAGATAATATAAAAACCAATAAAACGTAATTATATCTTGACCATATTTTATTACAAAAAGTTCAATTATTATTTTTTTATTTTCTTCCCTATTTTGTTATTTAAATAAATGCACTACCATTTGAACGTATATAAGTAGCTAAAAAACATAGGTTACTTGGCCATATTCTCGTAGATAATTATTTCCCCCATCTTTATTCAAATGAATTATAGCTTTATTTTCCATATGTCGGTTGGTATTGGGTTATCTAAGAAAAACTTGACCGTAGGGGGTTGTCGTTGTTTGAAAAATTCGTTTCTGATGCTGCAGCTGCTGGCCAAGAGATAAGGGGAATTACATGGTTAGATACCCTGCCGAAATGAAATAAATGGTTCCGGTTAGGTTCGGGTTCCTGTAAACTAAACATTTTGTGTCCTATTCAGTTTGACCAAATTTTTTGGTCTTTTTTTTTTCTTAGAAAAGTTTTCATACTATTGGTTGTTACACTATGAAGTTGGTTAAGCAATAAACGCCCCAATTATATATTTTTTATTTAATCTAAATCCATTTTGTTCGTTCAAAAATGAAAATTTTCAATTTTAATTTAAAGGGTGCCACCACAGCAAACTACGAGACACTGACTTCGCATATCTAGCAGAAACACAATTTTATAAGTGCCACATGCTTGGAACTAAATTTATTTAAATATAATATTATATATAATAGGTATAAGAAGAAAATTTTATAATCGTATACGTAGACGTATAAAATTAAAATGCCAATTACAATGTACTAATTTTTTTCGATTCCTATATGTTTACAGTCAAAAGTCAAAATTGGAAATCTCATGAGTGCTTATTTTTTATCCTATTTAAAATCGTTATACAGATAACGCTAAAGGTAATCATAATATTATGTGAATATTAGGAAACCAAAAAACTCGTTTGAAAGATTAGAGTTTCCGGTTCAGTTCCGACAATTTAATTTAAAATAAAATGATTCAATTTCGGTTCCGGTCCACTAAATAATATTGCTTCCGCTTTCTGATTTCAATGGTTATTTAATGGCATCTGCATGATTTTAAGGTCGGTTTTTTAAAATTACTTTTATAACTTGTTTTTTTTTATGTGTGCTATCCTCGTGAATTTGTTAGTTGCCTAAAATGTAATGTAATTTTAAAATTATTTTAAATTTTGGACTAATGAAAGGATCTTTATTTTTGCTACTATACTGACTAAATCACTTTATCATTGTATTTAAATAGATATAATAATTTCTGTTACTTTTACCTCCTTTATACAGGGTGTCCCACTAAAAAGCAACACATTTTAATAGCTTATAACCTTCGAGCATATATATTTCATAGAGTCCGCATTCAACAGCGTTTGTTTGGGTTAAGAGGGGAAATAGGTAGACACTATTTTCAGTGTCGCATCATTTTTACGGGGTTTGCAATTAATATAAATAATAAATTTGATACATATCTTTAAAATTTCTTAAATTATGCACATATTTTATAAACTTGCAATATTTATATCTATAGGTATCTAGTAATAGTAAATTATTATTGTGTATTATTATTATTATTATTATTATTATTTGTGTTGGACACACCAGATTTTTTTTAATTCAAACATCAGAAAGTGTATAACGGAAAAATGAAGGTTGAAATAATAGGCAATAAAAAAGACAAAGAGCTTATATTTAAAAATCAAAAATATAAATAAATAGTAGGCATATTATACAAATATTTATGATATCTATTAACACACGTGTACGAGAATTACAATAAACTAATTTTTTCCAATAATTTATTAAATACAAAATATTGTTCGTAAACAGTGTTTAATAGATTACAAAATGATATCCTACAAATAGAAAGCAAGCTAACACTTAGGTACTTAGGTACATTTGCACTGCCAGTCGTTAACAAATAGTGAAGCTTAATTTTTATTGGAAAACTGTCTTAAGCCTCAATTATTTCTTAATGACTAGGAGTACAAACAAAAGAAGCTTAAAATGACTTTTTTAATTGAAAAACTCACATTAGGCTTTGCTTATTTCTTAACGACTAGTAGTCTACTTAATTAAAGAACATAAATATATTTATTAAAAAATAATTGTCAATTTTTGTGGTTTATAAGAAATATAGGTAGTAATAGGTAAGTATTTGAAAATAAAATGTATGTTGTATTAAAAAGTTATAATTCTGCATGTTCTTTTTCTGCAACAGAGTCTTTATGGTTCAGATCATCATTGAAAAATTAAAAATTTTGAACGATTAACCCACAAGAAAAGTGCAGTGTTCTTTACCTATTAGATTCATCATCTTCTCGGGCTTCAGTAAATCCTGATGGCAATGCACCTGGAATTAATCTAGTTCTTCCTCCGCATCCAGTCTTTCACAGAAACACATATCCAGAAAAATGATTAGAACATAAAACATCACTATTTGAAATGTTTTCTGGAGTAAGTTTCAATATGTGTCACCAAATGCGTTTTTCTGCAGGTTTAGTTGGAAACCTACAAAAAACAAAAATTATTGATTTAACATCTTCAACATTATCATGATAAAATGACTTAAAAACGAAAAGCTTGTTTATATTGAAAAATTATGATTAAATTTTTTAACTTTTTAGTAGAGTCCAAAATCTAAAACAATATTCCTCGTACATAATACAAGTTCTTTAAATTTAATTCACTAAATTTACCGTTTATTTTAAATTCATGTTTAACGGCCTTTTGCATAAAATGTAGGCAATTATGTTTCTTAAAAAAAAATGGTAGAGACGCTAATGGTTACTTACTTGTGAAATGACCTTGACGATGCCTTTTCGCATGAAATGTAATAAACTTGGACGCCATTTGAAAACACTTCATAGTGAGTACGTTAACAAGTCCTGAGAATTTTTTGAATTAAAATTAAAAAGAACAAACATCATTCTTCAAAAAAACTTTGTGAACGAAAAAGCTTTACTTGCCTTTTAAAGTATCATATAAAAAAGCCAGATGTGAAAAGGCTCACATCATTGGTGAAGACCTTATTCTGCCAGCTGCGATGGAGATTGTAGAAACTATGTTTGGAGATAATTTTGCCAAACAATTGCAAATCATACCTCTTTCAAATGATACTGCCCGCCGAATTGGTGATATAGCCGAAGATGTACAGCACCAGCTTCTTGAAAAGTTACGTAACAAATTGTTTTCGATTCAGGTCACGATGCAACAGATAGCAATAAAGACGCTCATTTAATTGTCTATTTTCGATTTTGTGATGGTATGTCGGCAGTAGAAGAACTACTTTTCTGCAAACCTATAGAACTCAAATTAACAGCACTCTCTTTATTTCATATTTTAAATTATTTTATTAATGAGGCAAACAGAGTAAAAGAATTGCGTTGGAATGTGCATTGATGGTGCTCGTATAATGTTTGAAAGATTCCAAAGTGTACAAGCACTTGTGAAACAAAAATCTTCGTAAAGTGTCTGGGCCCATTGCATGATCCACAGAGAATATCAAGAATATTTAATGCACTTTGCAAAGATATGGGTGTCGAACATTCGACGTTGCTATTTTATTGCGATGCCAGATGTTTATCGCGTGGGAAATTTTTACGTGTTTATGAGTTAAAAGAGAAGATTGCCACTTTTATAAAAGAGGAAAACCGCCCGGAAGCCGAAAAGTTTCGAGATGCTTTATTTGTAATTAAATTGAGTTACTTGGTCGACATAAGTTAGTGGAGCAGAAATGTGAAACAAAAAAAAAACTACAAATGTTTGCAAATGAGAATGTGTCAAAACATACAAGAAAGAAGAACAGTATGTGACAGTTGCTTTTGTAACAATAAAAAATCATTTAGCCATGTTGGCACAGAATTTTAAAAAATATTTTCTTGCTGACGACAAATTGGTAGCAAGTTACGAGTGGGATCCATTTAAAACTACTCCCAAAGGTAACTGCAGAAGAAGAAATCTTCATAGACTTTACTGCAAGCGGAGAAATCAAAAGAGCATTTAGTAATAAATCTCGCTTTGAATTTTGGTCGAGAGTGGATGATGCCTTTTCTCCACTAAAAACAAGAGCATTTCGTATATTATTGCCATTTTCTACATCCTACCCTTGCGATGTCGGATTTCCTGCTTTAAAGACAAAATATAGGTCTCGACTGAATATAGACAAAGAACTGTCAGTGGCTATTTGTAATAGAAAACTTTCTCTTGAAAAACTTTGCCCAAAAGAGTCACTAATAATTATTAAAGATACTTTCAATTCAGTGCTGATGAGTTTATTATTAGTTTCATTTGGTATTTGACGGTACCGACTGATATAATCATATTTATAATAATTAAATAAGACATTTAATAACGTGTACTGTAATTACTTAAGTTTTTGTAATGTCGGATTGAATATCATTTTGTTTTTCTTTCTGTGAATTACATTTGTTTTATAGTAATTATCGTTTTTTTTTATGTGCAGTAACCCCCACGTAAAGTTATGCACCCCCCCTACGGGGTGCGCCTTCTAGGTTTAGAAACCCTGCCATAATGTATATATTTATGGAAATGGAAAAAAGGGTCTTTCAGATGGTATGAAAAATATAGGGTGTTTTATTTGGAGTAAAATTGATAATTCTGTTTAATAGGACCTTTTTTCGACAGTTTCTGGAAAAATATACATTTGGCAACTATTTGAATCAAATATAAAAAATTTAGCGAAAACTGCACATCGATATCTTTTTCATTCTAGAGTTATAAACTGTTAAAAAGTGTTAATATATAGTGGGACACCCTGTATAAAGGAGGTAGAAATAATGAAAAGGATTATGGGGTCTATTCTGTAACAATTCCTTTATATTTAAAGGCCTTTAAAAATATTTTCTTCTTTACTTCTGTCATTATTTAAACGGATCTTTAAAATACATTAGAGGACTATCTTAAAGAAATCTGTTTAAATAATGACATACAAACATATTTTTAAAGGTCGCCAATATTTTTAAAGGCCGTTAAATATAAAGGAATTATTACAGAATAGACCCCTAAATCTATTTAAATACAATGCTAAAGTGATTTAGTCAATATAGCTGCAAAAATAAAGATACTTTCATTAGTCCAAAAGTTTAAAATAAAATTAAAATTACATACATTAGGTTTCAGACAATTAACAATTCACGAGGACAGCACATATAAAATTGCAAGACAAACAATCTGAAAAGGTCACAATTTAGAAATAATACATATCGTGTGATATTTAAAGGACCTTTTCCTTTACTTCTTATCTAAAATATTAAAATTATGTTTTCTTTGTATATTCCAGGTGAAGAAACTAAAAATCCACAAAAATCCATACCCATTGGGGTTGTAGCATCGTTGATGATAGTATTTTTTTCTTATTTTGGCATGTCATTAGTAATGACGATGATTTTACCATATTATGAACAGGTATTTATTAATATTATTCCACACACACTGTGTATTTTTCAGTTTACGTAATGGCTAGAAAATCGTTTATTACTATCCTTATTAATAAATTATTATTTTAAGTATTGTAAACAATTTTAGTATAGGGCAACATAAATAAAAGTAAAGAATGAAAACAATGTATGTCACTGTCGATCTTATAATTTATGAAATATTCATTATGAAACGTCGAATCGAAGACAATCATATTTTCTCCCAATTAGTAACTTGCGATTAATACCTACATTTGTTTGTTAAATAACTATCGATAGAATTTATTTTTTAGGATGAAAATGCCCCATTGGCTTACATTTACGCCAGATTGGGATGGACAGTTTTAAAATATGTTGTTAGTATCGGTGCTATTTGTGCTCTCTTTTCTAGGTAAGTCATATTGTTTTTATTCGATTGTGTGAAAAAACGCCGTTTTCGGACCAAAAATAAAACTTCAAATGAACGGCCGCAAAATACTTTTTTCTACAACCGTGCGTAGAGTACGGAAGGCGTTAAGTTTTACTTTTTTCACAGCAACAAAATAAAACTTTTTATTTTAAATTACCATTTCGATACCAAAAAACGATGTTAAGTTAACTATGTCAAACGTAAGCTAAAACCGACCTTAGCTGAGTGTAACAATGAATTTTATCTTTTTCTAGTATTTAAAATATTTTGGACGAGATATATCAGATATTTACGAGATATATCAGTATTAAATATGCTATAAATTTCTAGTATGCTCGTAAAATGTACGTTTATTACTTTATACGCTAGTGCGTAAAATAACTTTTAGTGGAGCGCCTGGGGGTTTTGACCTCGAACTTTTGCTGCAGTAAATAAATTTATATGGTTGAAGTGGAAGTTTGTTTCTTATACAATTATACAAGTTTACCAAATTTTTTTTTGTGATTTTAATTTTTAAATTATGTAAACAAAAAATATAACAAATAGTATGTGAGTAAGAAATCATACGTTTACAAAAGTGTACAAGTAGATGACATTATTAGAAAAAAATTATAAAAAACAAGTGATCTTCATACATTCAGCTATTGAATGCACTGGGTTCTATTTAGTTAATTTAAATATTTTTTTCAAAAATGATCATTTTTTTTTTTCTGATACTCCTTCCTATATATGACATAAGAACCACTGTCTGACATGATAAATGTTCCAATAGCTGACATTGTAGAAAATGGTACCAATGGAAAACAAATGTGGAAAACAATAATTAAACAAAGAGGGGAAAATACTAATAAGAATAAAATATTCGCGATTCAAATTAATTTTCGCGCGCCAGTTATTTGTCACGTATAAGTAGGATGTTTGTTTATTTACGTGTTGTGGGATTCTGTATTTGTGATTTTTTAACTGTTTTTAGATAATATTCTTATTATAATAGTATTTTTGAGTTTCATTTGGTGTTAATTTAAGTTTAGTTTTCGTACTTTCGTTATAAATGTAATTTTTCATGTGTAGTACGAACTAATTTGTTGGAAATATTGACCTATTGGTTGCTACAAGAACATCTAGAAATATGTATTTACTAAACCCAGGACATGTTTTATTATGTGGTTTAAAGGACATATCAGGTACCAAACGTTTATTATTGATGAACTTCTTTAAAAATCTTACTATCCTTATTCTTATATCATGAAGTGAATTGTGTAGTACTTTGTATACATGTAAATGGTAATAAAACCGTCACAACTCATATTGGAGTTTGATTCTAAACAACGTTTTGCAAAATTTCAATATTGTGAATTTGTAGATACCCATTTATCGTAAGAAACAGAATTTTATGACTTGCACTTGAAAAATAATGAATACTCCAGTTTTGATTTTGACAATAACACCATACAGATTGCAATTTTCTGGAGGCTTTTTCGCAGATTTCATTTTTAATTTAAATACTATCACATACTATAAGAAATAAACAAATTTAAAGCTAAAAAGTAACAAAAAACTCTAATTGTAATTGATACAAATTAAAATGTAAACAATGAACACGAACGCCAATGTTGCCAAATGATGAACTGATTTTGTCTCTGACTGATTTTAAAATTAAAATTAATAAATGAACTGATATTTAAAAAAAAATCAATATAATAAATCGATTTTATAAAAAAATCCTTAAATAAATAGTATGATTACATATTACTAGACACAAATTTTGATTCTTAAATAAAAGGTCTTATCCATTTCTTCAAAAACTAAAATCCGACGACGTAACGAAATTTTGCTGCTTCTGGCAACACTGAACGTCATCCTACTTATAGGGACCTTTTACTAATTTTCTCCAGAGGGCGTATCACTTAGCTTGAATCGCGAATAGGGACCGTGCGTCATGACTTTAACGCTAACTGGTGACAAAAATTTGAACTTTTTGGGGGATATTTATTAATATTTTATACGGCATTTATTGTTTAATAATTATTAATTAAATAAAGTCGAATTATTTTCGTAATATCATTATCGAAAAAAATTGTTGCATCCGTGGATGTACGAACACATTACTTTGAAAACCTGGATTTCATTCGATAGTAAAGAAATTTTATAAATTTCCACAGAGCAGAATTAATCTCACACCCAATGATATACATAATTATATAGATTGCTTATCCATATGTAAATCAGATGACGAAAAACGTATTTCACTGGGCAAAGTTTTTTTTTTATCTAGCTTGTATCAATTTTGAACACTTAGTTGTAAAGAAATCATTTACAGAACCGGTTTAGAAATTAGAATCTTTAGTGTTTTCTTGTCATTAAGATTTTTACATATTTAAATGAACATTTTATATAAATATAATTTTACAGATAATAATTTATTCTGTTGATTAAAACTAATGTAGAATGTTACTATGAAATAAGTATTGTCCAATTTGACAAAAATATCATAGCCTTCTTTACAATTTATTAACTATTTCTCATTTATTACTAAAATAAACAAATTATAAATAATACATTGCAAGTGCTGTCAAAAGAGATTGCAACAAACTTTAAAATATTAAAAATCCAGTGATTTTTGTAAATTTTTTTAGTGACATTACCATTAAAAATTATTCAGAATAATAGATGTGTCCAATTACAACTCTTACAAAAGTTGTTTATATCTCATATCAAAGTTGTTTACATTTCCTTTTCAAAATTGTATTACATATTGCAATTATGTATTTTATGTAGTGTTATTTCTGAAATGAGAGTAGTCTAAAATTTATATCCATCTGTTTTAAAAATTGTTTAGATCTCTTAATAATATTTAACTACATGGAAACTCAACTTTCCAAATACATAATAACGTGTCGAAGTAAAACTTTAATTATTTTCTTTTTCTAAAGATTAAAATGCTGAAATTTTATATTAAAACACATTTGGGATAGAACGGCTCTATTTAGTGAGCACTAGGAAAGGCACATTGCAACCCGCTTTTCGTAATTTTTTATAGATGGGTGAGCAATCTATAATATGTATATCATTGGGCGTCATAAACGTCAGTGGATGAATGACATTTCGTCTAACATAAAGCTAAAAAGAATTATTATTATTCCCAATTTTTTTTATTAATTTACATTTTTTAAATGTTATTGTAATACTTTTAAATTCAGTGTTACTAAATACCGATATTTTGACATTGGATACACTTGTTTGAGGTACAACTTTACAATTTATTGTCACTTTGTCATTTAAATCTTTTTGCTTAAAATGTATATATACAGGCCAGATTTTAATAATGTTTTACATTTTATATCATTTTGACAATGTACTCGATTGTTTGGTACGGGCCGGTATCTATATTTAACTATATTTGATATTTTAAAAAATATCCTTTATTATTTACTTGCAATGTTTACCTCATTTAATTCTAAAATTAAACACTAGAGAGGGCTAACTTCGGCAGTAGTGCTGCCTCTATATTTCACGCACGGTCCCTATATTAGTAAACATTATTTAACAAACATTCTTATTTTACATGTTCTATTCGCTCCGTGCGCGACAGCAGCGTCAATTTGTTTTGGTATTAAAGGAGTATTTCTGCCTATACTGACAAATACAATTTTTAATAGAATTCGTAAATAAAAAGTATATATGTTAGTTTTAATAAAAGTATATGGATTTATAAAACAATTAAAACATTAATTTATTATTATTATATATTTTTCACGCTTAAATTGAAGAAAATTATGTATAATCATTAAAAATCAATAATAAAATATAGGCAGGCAACAGTATTTACTGGAAAATGTATGAGAAGTTGCCTAAGTCTAATAAGTTGTCATTGAAGAAACCATTTATAATAGCGTGAAGTTAAAATGTATAAAAAGGATCGCTACTTATATTTTCATTTTTGTTCTAAAGAAAACATAGAATGAATGATTAAAACTGGTTTCCGATCAGTAAGTCACAAAATTGCATACCAGCCAAATATTATAATCAACGGCAGAAATCTTGAAATCTAGTCCTTGCTGAATGAACATTTAAGAATAAAGGGATATTAAAGAACATCGTAAAATGATAATTTATTGTTTATTTAAAAACTTTCTAGTTTCTGATGTCTACTATTTCCAGCATTACTGTTATTATCACAAAAATAAAGGTAATTTTTCTTCTTATTGTACACCTATCCATTTATTTCTTTGATTTAATTTCCACTTTGTTAGTGAAATTTGTTATATAAGTTTCACTGTTTTTTTTGTTGCTAGTATTTGTACAATTTTCAACACAGCAACTCCGGTTGCTTATTGTGTTGTTTTTACCTACTTTTTTGAAAAAAAGTAAAATGTATACGTGTATTTGATATGCCAAAATTACAAAATATCCCCCTAAAATGCACGAATTATCCGCAGCTAGCGCTAGTATCGCTTTTGCTTCCCAATGAAACAAAATGGTACACGTATAAAAACATTTATTATTTAAAAAAAAATCAGTTGTGAAAGAACGAAAACATTTTTTATTTTCAAAAAATGTTGGTAAAAAAACTAAAATAAACTAAATCAACTCAAAAAAGGAACAAAAACATTTTTTCTTCTCAAGCTATCGGTAAAAGAACTAAAATCTTTATTTTTAATAAAAAGTAATAGCAAAAGATTAGCGTACAATCATGTTGCCAAAATCAACTCCGAATTTAAAATATGATGAAAGCCTTTTGTTCTTTGTATTTGTTGGATTCGGTAACAGGATTGCAAAATCTGATTTCAGCGCCATATGAATGTCCGGAACATCTGGAAAATAGAATGAATTTGAAACTTTTGCACTCTTCCTCAAATACGAAATTTTAAATTCGTTAGAGTTTACAGCTTCCATAATTTTAGCAACATAGTGAATATTATTTTGAAATTTGACCAAGACAAAAGAAGTAGTTTCATCAATTGCTAAAAATTCTGATTGTT